CTCTATCGTTCTTATATTTCTAATTCTCACTGTTTTTCTCTTTCTTTCTAATACTTTTATTCTCCTTTAACTCTGTTATGCTCTTTTTATTCTTTCTTTCTCTCTGTTCTTCTTCTCTTATTCTTACTCACCATGAAGGAAAATCATGGTTCTCTCTTGTTCTCATCATACTCACCATGAAGGAAAATTATGGTTCTCTCTCTTATTCTCATCATACTCTCACTAACCATGGAAGAAATCATGGTGCATGCATGTATGAGATGTACATGCAACTAATGCAAAAGAACTGCATGTTTCTTTCTTCTACTCTCTATTCTTACTAACTCAAACTCTCTCATTCTTTCTCATACTCTCTCTCTTTCTATCTCATTCTTTCTCAAGCTTTCTCATTCTTTCTTATTCTCTCTATTATCTCATTCTCATTTCTTATAATTCATTTCTACTAACTCGCTCTTTGAATGTCACGGCCCCATCTTACCGGAGGCACGGCCAGGACTTCTCCCGCTCTACGTGACTTCTACTGATTCTCTTTCTGTCTTTCTTTCTCATAACTCTTTTATGTTAACTTTCTGTTGTAGGTCACGGCCTCATCTTACCGGAGGCACGGCTGGGTACTCATCCCACTCTTCGTAACCCTACTCATTGTCTCTCTTTATTCTTTCATGTTTGCTCATTCTTCCTCGCCTGCATGTCACGACCTCATCTTACCGGAGGCACGGCTGGGTGGAGATCACAAAACACCTACCCACTCTTCGTGACTTCTACTCATTCTTTGCCGATCGGACTCGGTCATGCATGGATTCGAAACCTTTGGCCACGTGAGTGTATTCTCTCTCTCTCTGAATGTCACGGCCCCATCTAACCGAAGGCACGGCTGGGGATCACAAAGCACCCACTCTCGTGACTTTACTCATCACTCACGAGTTCCCCATCGCACAACCTACTCTATTCTCTTGTGTAGCACTTTTCTCTCTTTTATTCGCTAGTGCTCAATCTCTCTTTCTCTTTACTATTAGTGTTCTCATTCTCTTTACTCATAGAGTTGCTATTCTCAACATTCTCTACTCTTTCTCACTCAAACTATTACTCATAGTATAGCTTATACTCAAAATTCTCTACTCTTGCTCAAGCTAATACTCATCTCTTCCTCAAGCTAGTACTCATAGTATAGCTTAACTCTTAGAGTAGTCTATTCACAAAGTTCTCTACTCTTTCTTAAGCTACTTCTCAATTCACAATTAATGCACATGGATGGCTCATGCTCAATAATGCACTTAGGAAATGCCAATATGCAATATTGCATCAAAGACAGTCATTTTGCACAAGTCACACTAAAAAAGGCATAACTTGAGTTATACACATTGGATTGCTACGGTTTTTATCTTGTTTTAAAGCTTAGAGACAGGGCTATAATTTTTATGTTTTGGTCTAAACGCAGTTCAATTCGTAAGATGCCCAAAAATCACTCAGAAAGTTACAGCTGTGATAGGGCAGTTTGGTAACATGTTTTCACTTAGGCATTTTATCAAACCACTCATGTGCATACAAAAACTCCTCTATAACTACAACTCTATTTCTTTTTTTAATCATCCATGGGAAGAAACTCCCTTCTATGGACATAATTCCTATCATAGAAGAACACTCCTAAAAAATTTACTCAATCTCCTCCAACTTCATCTCAAACTCATCACACATCAACACTTCTCATAAAGGAAGCATATCCAACAAACACAACATGAATATTCATCTCCACTCAATTTCTCAACAAATAGACATACATCTCTACTCAATTTCTCAACAAACATCATATATACATGCATAAAGAAAATCTCTACTCAAGGATTTCTTAAACTTTAGCTTGAGTTGGATTTACTTACCTCATACTTGAGTAGTCTTCACTAAAACTCTCTACTTTTGTTGGACCTTAGCTTTTCCTTATTTCCTCTTCTTGCGTAGGATCAATTCTTTGTCAAATCCCAACTCAAAACTCTCAAAAATCCCTTGGAAGATTGAGTGAGGAATTGAGAGAAAATGGGAGATGAAGAGGCGGTGGAAATGGGTGAAATGAAGGGGTTTAGAGCACTAAACCCTTATTAGCTCATATAATATACACTCTTTCCCATTTTGCCCTTACTCTTTCTTGAAAATTCTACCTTTATCCTTTAATTCTTTACAAACTCACCCCCATTCTACACTATTCTCCATGAAATTTCCTTTCATTTTAATTCCCACTTTTCCTGCTAATTAGGGGTAGAATGGTCATTTTGCCCTTAGGAAAGAATTCTCTAGAAACTCAAACAAAAACTCAGCCGGCCCTTTGCCGCGGCGAATGATTTTCTGTCACCCCGGCGAAGAATTACAGAACTGACACTGCCATACACAAAGCCAACGTCGCCACGGCGAAGACTGCAACTCCAAAATCCGCTAAGTCTTGATCAATTCCAGGGTAAACACTTAACCAAACCCAAAACATAAACTCAACCAAGGCCAACCAAACAACATGAATAAGATACAACCTCATTTAGGGCAATTCAGTAAACCTTGAGGCCATAACATAAACAATGGCTATGTATCTCAAATGGGGCGTTACAATTATTGTCCTAAAATTTTATTAATAAAGAGTAACATTGTAACAAAAATACGATAACCAAGTAATCTTAAAATACCTAAGAAAATAGAGGTAATCAGACTATCTCCTATATTACTAGTAGTAACTACTATTGGTTTTGGAAGATTATTGAAATCTTATGCTACTTGACAATCAAACGTGGTAATCAAGTAATATAAGATGACATTACCTTAGTAATCTCCTATTAACCCTAGCCAAACACACCGTTAATGAAATTTAATGGTATAATATAGTGTTTAAAAACTCGAACCGACAGGTGAAACTAGTTTAACCGTGACTCGGGACCTTCATTGGGCCAGGTTAACAATTTCCCTATTCCCCCAAAACCATAGAATTTGGGATAATGATCGGCAAACAATTAAAGGTCGGGATGTTGGGGCTTTTGAAGAGGAAGTGCTAGTGAGTGCAATGGTGGCGACCGAATTGGTTTCTAAGGAATTAGTCGACCAGAATTCAAAAAAAAAAACCAACGGTGGCAATAGTCGGCTTTTGCCGGCGATTGGCGAGGTGAACGAGGGTGGGGTGAGATAGGTTTTAGTCAAGAGGTTGAGGGGAGTATTTTCGTGGTGATGGGAGGGTGACGTTGACGGTGGTGAGATCTGGTCGAAATTGGTCAACGTTGGCATTGGTTAGATGTGGCCGAAATCGGTCGATTTTGGCTAGATCTTGGGTAGATCTTCTAGGGTATAGGCTTAAGGAACAATTGTAATTGCATTTGCTGTGTCACCGTTGCAAACTAGTCAATGGCCGATTTGTATTCAGGGTGTGTTTGCTAAATTTCAAACTTGTTAAGACTTAAATGTAATTTTTAGGAGTGTATTTGCCGAATTTTAAAATTTTTGACACCCGGTTTTACCAGCTAGTCAAATCAGTTAAAATGGTCAACCTAAGACCCAACAACTTCGCCGGGTTTCTTCCCGGGTTGGTTATTAAAACATTGGTATAATATAACGCTAAAAAACCTCAATATGTAAGCATATTGAGAAGAGTAATCAACATTCCCACCCAAGGTTTAGTAAAATCTTAGGTTGGTACCTCTGGTTTCATAAATTCCAGATTCCCACCCTTATATGGATGTCGTAGTGATATTTTAATAGTTGAGGGCTAAAATGGTCTTTTTCTCTTTTCCCTTCCCATTTCTTCTACATCTCCGCCTCCTCCTCCCATCTTCTTCTTTTTCCTCCACATCTCAAAACGGTTGCCGTTTCAAGCCCCCTTGGTTGATTCTGGTGGCGTCTTGACCCCCCGCCACCACCGTTCGATCCTCCAACCCAACCACACCAAACCCCCTCTATCCCCCACCCTGCAGATCCAACAAATCACCCCCTGGCCGTATTTTGAAATCAGTCCAGCCGTCGACCTTTTTGCCGCTTTTCCGACTCTATTTCACCCAAAACCACCGCCATCTGCCTGAACCTCCCACACCAAAACCCTAGCATTTCCTCAATTGAAACAAGTTTTTTTTTTTACGTGTTGTGCAACTGTCCCCAACCGAATTCCCATTGATTCTGATAGCCTCAACCCCAAACGACACCACCCCTGCACTCCCAAACATCTCCCCTTCAAAACCCCTAACCTTCCCAACCACGATTGCCCGTCGTCCACCGTTGCCATTCAAACTTTGGGTTTTGCAAAATCAGTTGAAATTGAAGTTTGATTGAGTTGTGGAATTTATTTTTGATTTGTTTGATTTTTTATTTAGTTTTTTGCTTTTGCATTTTGTCTTTGTTTTTGTATTTTGTTTGATTCTTTATTTTGATTGTTGTGTTGCGGGGAAAGAAGAAGGGCCATTTGAGGTGGTGGTTTGGCCGACTAGTGTTGGTAAAGAAGAAGGGCCGACTGTGGTGATGGTTTGGGATGAGGTTGCTTGGAATGAGAAGTGAAGAAGAGGAGGGGAGACAAAGAAGAAGAAGGTCCAAGCATTTGGTAAAAGAACCCTTTGCCCTTATGTCACAACCCCACAACCCATTCATCACTAACGACGTCCATTTAAGAGTGGGAATCTGAAATTTATAAAATCAAGGGTACCAGCATGAGATTTCACTAAACCTTGGGTGGGAGTAACGTTGTTTACTCCATTGAGAATAAAGAATCACCATCCGAAAAATTTTAAGAGAACAAAACAAACGATTTTAGATACAGCTTAAGTTGCTTTGTAAAGATTTGTTTCCAACCAGAATACTAGAAGATAACATTGTATTAAACTCGCAATTCCTGAAACATCTTAATACACAGCAGGAAACTTGGATTTGGTTTTACAAAGGGGGCATAAAATTTACCATGCGAAACAGAAAAGGCACATATAATTTGTCTCAAAACAAACCCTGTGCTAAAACATAATAAAAGCCCAGGCTGAGATAGGCCTGGAAGAGTTCTAAAAATTTATTTGTCTTCAAAAAGAATTGTATGATCGACTCATTTTACATTCCCTACATAAGAAGTTGGCTGGTAATGTAACAAACTGCAGATATATTTGAGCAAGGACAATATCTATTACATAATTAGAGGATTCTGTCCTGAAGATCTGTCATTAAACTGGATGCCAAGGAGCTTAGCTTCTTCCCAGTCTCTCCGGCAATGTTCTTAAGGGAGGAGATGTCTTGTTGTGCCTGGAAAGAAAATAAGATAATCAAAATAAATAAAAAATAAAAAAGAGAATAAAGCCTAATCTCTCATGGATCTTCATACTCGATAAATTTAATTAGATCAGTTTGCTGGTATCTTAATATTTCATGGTTGTACCTGGAATGAGAGTCGATTGATGAGGTCACTAGCAGCAAGGTCAATAGAGGAATTATCAGCATCGTGACCAAAAAGATCAGCACTAGAGATTGCCGATGAACTCTGGGGATAAAAAATACTTCATTAATGAAATTGAAAACACAATTGAATACGTACATTCCACCTCACTGGACCCCGGAGCAATTTCTATTTGAATTTATGAACAAAAGTAATTTCTAATAGCACATCAACACTAAATTAGCATTCAAGTTTCATGGATGAATACACTAAACAAAATGCTAGCAACAAAAAGACATGTTTAGTAATTTCCATAAGTTAGATGTTTCCAGAAGTCAGGTTGAGAAAATTATGCAGGTTGAAGGTGTTTTAAACCTTGTTAATTTATCATTTAATAAGCCATGCTAGACCATTGATTGATGATTGTGTTCATTATCAACCCCCATAGACACTTCGAAGTTAAACTCTCCACCTCTCACAAACCCAGCCCACCCAACCCTGGAAAAAAAAAGGTCATTTGTGACACCACAAAGAGTTCATATTTAAAGTCATCTTACGAAACTCTTCTGATATTTTAACATTTGTTAGCTAAAACAACTACAGCATAATATATGGAATGATAGCATCTGCATCAAGAAAAAATGTAACTTGAAACAAAATTATGAATAAAATTTTTCAAACAAGTTAAGAGTAAGAGCACGTACAGAGAACTTCTGCAAAGTAACTTGAGAATCAAGGTCCATAGCTTTGCTTTGATCCCCAAAAAATTGGGCTGATGATATAGCTTTTGCATTTGAGAACTTCTTCCTTGCTTCATCAGTTTCTTGAATCTGATAATACAGTAATATAAGGATGAAGTAAGAATAATACAGTAGAATCACATGCATCATTCAAGCAAAGTCATAACTAACAGGGTGAACCAAACCAAATGACATAATATTTGTGACAGAAAATGAAAAGACTACTTTTTGTGGCAGCCCCAACACACCCAATGTTGAAAAAGAAAGGACCAGAAAACAACAAGCTTTATCATTCTATATCAAAAGAAATCCATATTGACTTTGCACTAAATCTCATATCACATAAGTCATAAAACAAATGTTAGAAAAACACAACCCAGAGCAAGGGGGGATTTACAGAGGGATACCAGACATCAGTAGTTTTCGGATTTCATGTTTGAGAAGTTACAAATTAACTTTCGTTTTTGCATGCACATATGTACATATTACCATATTCCTCAAGTGTTTAGGTCCAGTTAATTCGACTTTTCATTGATATATTTGTGAATGTCAAGTCTTCTGCCCTTGCCTTAATCTGAGGAAGACAGCCAAGAAGCTTACCTGCACTTTTGAGGAACTAGCTTTCTTTTGAAAACCATTGTCCATTCCATAATCTGCAAAGAAGCTTGTTGACTTTGGTGGAGCTACATGGCTAAGCACTTGAGGGCCACCAGAACTCAACTCAGCAGATTGGACATTTTCCACATACTCGAAGCGAGATGCAAAAGACGAACCAGCAGGCGGAGTGTTGCTAGTTGATGTGGCAACTGGGACAGTTGGTTCTTCAGGTTTCTGGTCATAGAGACTTTCACTTGTCTGCATTACATAAGAATGTTTTACTAAGACAAGAATTGAATCAAACATGAAAAACACAAAATAAATAGCAAATGCAGTTGTCCTCTATGTTACATTCTCTTGCAGCTAAAATAATTGTATAGAGAGGAAACCACTAATATCTACCTTTGTAGTAAGCTTTCGTGCACCAAGGCCACTAGTCTTCCCTGTTCTCTTCGCACCAAGAGGCTTTTTGACAGTACTGGCAACAACTGTATGAGAAACTTTTGGTGAAACAGGGACATCATGAATTTCTTGCTTTCCCACATGACTTTCTTGCCTTCCTATACAACTTTCTTTTGGATCTTCCAGGATCTTAACATCTGAAAGTCCATTAGCTGCTTGTGCCAACTGAGAAGCAACAGGTGATGATGGTAAACCCACCTCTTCTGCCATACTTTTAGCAACTTCTTTCGCAAGTATCTGCTTGTACATCTCAGCAGCTCTTGAAGTATACTTGGCCTCAATTTTGCCCCCACCATTCCATCCATGCTGCTTAAAAAAAGCCTGTGCACGGTTGTTACCTCCAAACATCATCGTTTTCAACTGCTCAGTACTCCATGAGTCTAAATTTGTCGACCTATATGAATAGACAAAATTAATAATAATTAAGGAAGAGAAAAAGAAAAAAGAAAGAAAAGTCACCAATATATTTATTTCATAATAGGCGTGTTAATAAAACACATAATTATATGGAGTCATACTTGATCAGTTAATAGCTGGGGGCTACAGGGAAAGACATCCCTTTGAAAAAAAAGATAACAATTATTCTTAGCTGAAATGAGGACTCCATCCTTCTGCTTTCTTCATTAAATAGCATAGATAATATACATGCTGCATCACTATATTTACCCGGGAAAATCGATGATAACTCAACTAGATAGGATTACAGAACAGAAAGCAAATACGGTGGCTGATCAGCATCAACCAATTAAGCATTTTCTTCATACAAATAAAAAAATAAAAAGCTAATTTTCAACAAAACACAGAATCAAATTGAAATTGAAAACAATCAAGGGACTAAAGCGAAGAGAATGTGGTTAAGAAAAAATTAACAAATGATTTCAAACTGATGTCATAATTTAAGGAGCTTAAGTAATGTTGCAAGAATTGTCTTTCTTTCAGTAAAATCTAAGAGATAGAATTTTTTGTCAATTAAACTTAATAGATCCTAAGAATATTTAATGCAGTAATTCTACTTCAAAACATACTTCCAAACTATAAACCATAGCCAGTCACACATATAAACATACCCCACTCCTTAGTAAGAGCCTCTGAAGAACATTTCAGATTTTCAAAGTAGTAATTAATATATATACCAGTTCAACAAAGATTTCAAACTTTACCCTTTCACACTAAAACTAAAATTCTTAGAAGAAATTTCAACAATGGAAAGAGGCATGATTTGGCACTAATCTTTCAACCTTAACATGGAGAATCATTTAGGGATAACAAGGAGGGAGTGAAGCCAATCACTATAACATGCATTTAAACTATTAAGTTGAGAAAGTATTTAAAATGAAAAACAAAAAGACAAAGGGCAGCCTTCCAAAGTTTGTTGATATGAAATTATACACCAACTCATCTCTAATTGACAATTATTAAACACCAACACAAACCATAAATTAGACCAAACGCCAAATACCGTCATAAATCAATAATGAATGATAGATCACAATCTATCAGTCAGATCTAAACAACCACAAACAATTTCAAGGCATCACAAGCATAAACTCTGCCCCAGCAAATGTTAAACGAGCCCTAAACTGCTAACTTCTAACCAAAAATTTACTTATATCATCAAGTTATCGTTGCTTGAAAGACACATGTTCATGATTAAGAGAGATCATGTAGAAACGATCAAAGAAGTTCAAAATATCAGAAGAGCTAAAAATGTTGGAAAGAGTAGACACAATTAAACAAAAAATTAGATTTTGGCAGAAGCAATGCTTGCAACTGAAGCAGTTATCACCAAATCCCCAATGCCTAAACAGATCACATAACCCTGAACTCAAATAACCATCCATTTTAACGCAATAATCAAAATACAATAGCACATTACAATTTAAAAGCAACAACGTCGTGATCCAACCAACAAAAATAGCCGATCGCTACAACATAATTTTGATCGTACGTAGTCGAATTCGTCTACAAACATATAAATATAATGCAGAAAATTTTATACATTAAAATAATAAAGAATTACAATAAGGTTTGCTAAATAAGAAAAAAAAAAATAGAGTCGGAATAATAACAGCATATTACCTAACGAAGCTGATGTGTACACCGAGACTCCGGTGAACACAGCAGAGCAATCGATGCATAGAAAGATCCCGTACGTTACCGACGCCCAGTAGGGTTCTTCGCATTGCAATCAAAACACATCTACAACAAAAACAATTAAAAAAAAAAATTAAAATAACAGCCCAAAATTTTGAAGATCAATAGGAAATTCACAGATCTGAATAGATCCAGAGTACATAGCAACACTCACCTTGTTATCGGATTCGCTTTGAGTTTTCTGAAAACGGTGTTCTTGTCCATAGGATTATCGGACGCCATGAGAAGAAGATGATCAAATTGAATAAAATAAAACAAAAATAGAGAGGGTGGAAAAGGAAAGTATATTTGCTGGTTCATAGGAGATTGAACTTGAAGAGGTGCGATGAAACACACCCCTCAGCTAAATAAGTGAAACCGCAAACGCTAAATGCTATTTGCGTTTTTAATTAAATTGGGAGATTCAATTTTTTTTATTATTATTATTAGGTGGATAGTTTGTAAATCAAAAATGTCCTACAGGTTTAACAAGTGTATGGTGGTTTGTCGTTATTTGCTTTAATAGCAAGGAGAGAGACGTAAATAGCCTTTGCTGTTTGGTTATCTGATTACTGGATTCATTCTGTATGGAAAAAAAAAAAATGCTTAATTTCTCTAAATATTTAATTGATTAAAATTAATATTTTGAACGGAATGTAAAGTTATTAATACAATAGAACCAGCATGTTCTGGGAACTGAATAGAGGTATGCTATGGAGGGCAGAGGTGCTTAGGCTGTTGAAAGAGATGTTAAAAACCTAACCAACATAATTGAAATTACGCCAACCCTTATCTTATACATAGTGGATGTGGGATCTTGACACATTAGCAAATAAATCAAAAATATATATATATATTTTCTTAAAGGGGGGCATGTCTTGCTGTGATTGGAAGATTGCCGATGAACTCTGAGGATAAAAAAACTTATTAATAAATTGAAAACACAAGTGAATCCGTACATTCACCTCAGAGGACCTTCACAGCAGTTTCTATTTGAATTTATGAACAAAAGTAATTATAATAGCACAAAGACATGAATTAGCATTCAAGTTCATGGAGAATATAACACTAAACAAATGCCAGCAACAAAAAGACAGGTTTAGTAGGTTAGATGTTTCCAGAAGTCAGTAGTTGAGAAAATTATGAGGTTAAAGGTGTTTTACCATGTTAATTTATCATTAATAAGCAATGCTAGACGATGATGACGATTGCGTTCATTACCAAACCAATACACAAACTCAAAGTTAAACTCTCCACACTCTCACAACACCCACCCCACCCAACCCTGGAAAAAAAAATGTCATTTGGACACCACAAAGAGTTCATATTAAAGTCATCTTACGAAACTCTTCTGATATTTTAACATTTGTTAGCAAACAACTACAGCATAATCAAGACTGAAAAACTGTGACTTGAAACAAAATTATGAATAAAAAAATTTCAAACGAGTTAGACCACATACAGAGAACTTCTGTAAGAAACTTGAGAATCAATGTCCGTAGTTTGCTCTGAACCCCAAAAAGCACATGCATCATTCAAGCAAAGCCATAGCTAACAGGGGTGAACAAACCAAATGACATAATATTTGTGACAGAAAATGAAAAGACTACTTTTTGTGGCAGCCCCAACACACCCAATGTTGAAAATGAAAGGACCAGAAAACAACAAGTTTTATCATTCTATATCAAAAGAAATCCATATTGACTTTGCACTGAATGTTATAAAAACACAACTCAGAGCAAGGGGGGAATTATAGAGGGATATCAGAAATCAGTGTTTTTGGGTTTCAGTTGAGAAGTTACAAATTAACTTTCGTTTTGCCGCAAAGATGTAAATCACCATATTCCTCAAGTGTTTATGTCCAGTTAATTTGACTTTTCATTGATATATTTGTGCATGTCAAGTCTTTTGCCCTTGCCTTAATCTGAGGAAGACAGCCAAGAAGCTTACCTGTACTTCTGAGGAACTAGCTTTCTTTTGAAAGCCATTGTCCATTCCATAATCTGCAAAGAAGCTTGTTGACTTTGGTGGAGCTACATAACTAAGCACACATTTTCCACATACTCAAAGCGAGATGCAAAAGACGAACCAGCAGGCGGAGTGTTGCTAGTTGATGTGGGAACTGGGACAGTTGGTTCTTCAGGTTTCTGGTCATAGAGACTTTCACTTGTCTGCATTACATAAAAATGTTTTACTAAGACAAGAATTGAATCAAACATGAAAAACACAAAATAAATAGCAAATGCAGTTGTCCTTTATGTTAGATACTCCTGCAGCTAAAATAATTGTATCGAGAGGAAACCACCAATAGCTAGCTTTGTAATAAGCTTTCGTGCACCAAGGCCACCAGTCTGCCCTGTTCTCTTCGCACCAAGAGGCTTTTTGACAGTACTGGTAACAACCGTACGAGAAACTTTTGGTGAAACAGGGACATCATGAGTTTCTTGTCTTTCTATACTACTTTCTTTCGGATCTTCCAGGATCTTAACATCCAAAAGTCCATTAGCTTCTTGTGCCGACTGAGAAGCAACAGGTGATGATGGTAAACCCACCTCTTCTTCCATACTAAGGTTCTTCGCATTGCAATCAAAACACACCTTGTTACCGGATTTCGCTTTGAGTTTTCTGAAAACTGTGTTCTTGTCCATGGGATTATCGGAGGCCATGAGAAGAAGACGATCAAATTGAATAAAATTAAAATTAAAATAGAGAGGGTGGAAAAGGAAAGTTGATTTGCTGGTTCAAATAGGCGATTCTGAAGAGATGCGATGAAACACCTCCTCAGCTAAATAAGAGAAACCGCAAACGATGACTGCAAGGTGAATTTAGTCATGCCCAAAATCATATTCTGAAGAAGTGCGATGAAACACCTCCTTAGCTACTTGGTTCAGTTGAGAATGGAGTCGCCATAAGCTGTCTGATCAGGTACGTGACCCAGTATAAACAAATTGGCCCATTTGAGATATTTGGACTTTTCCCTGGACTCTTTGTAAGCCCCGAAATCAATTTTAAAAAAAAAAACCACCGTAAATTGACCCAGATAAAACTTCAAGGGGGAATCGATGATTGCATCTTGAATGACTTTGATAATCAACTAATTCATGATGATTAAACTTAAATTTATCTTCTGAATGGGATGATTTTGAATTGGGTCTCATTAGCCCAATGAGAATCTTATTGGGTTGGGCTGGAATTCCGATTTATCAGCAGTAATTGACAATTGCATAATTTATAATAAATAATTATTTAAAAAAAGAGTTTTAATTTATAAATTATAATATTCAACATTATTTTTATCGTACAAAATATTAGGCGAAGGTATTCAAACATCCTTATCTTATTCCCAAAAGTCTACAAAGGCAGGTATTATAAAATAGTATTTGTTGTAGTTATCATTGAAGTTACATGGATTATATCAGATATGTCCCTTCATTTGTATTTTGGGCTTTCATCTATCCCGTTGGCCCAAAATCCAAAGACCCGAAAAACTTAGGGTGAGGAAGGGTGGTCTCTTTAAAGTTTATTAAATCATAATTCATTTGAAAATTAGAGGATTTGTTTAAAATGACGCATGATTCCTCGTGCACAACGTGCAGAAGAACTAATGGAGAGCACTTACCATTGAATTAAATACTTATGGGACCCCATTCTCAATAATAGTTTTCAAATCTAAAATGATTTCATATTTTTTGAGATTTTACCTGTCATAAAAAATAAGTTAAATAAATAAACTCTCATATTATGTTTTATGACCAAATAGAATTTTTTTTTTTTTTTTTTTAACAATACTAATAAAATGAGGCACGTGATCATTAATTTTCCGAAAGAGCATGCAAACCCACTTCCATTCATCTTCTGTTTCTGTATGACAGTTCACAAACTCAAAGTTAGGATTCAGACATACATGTAAAGTGTAAACTAGGTGAAAGTCCGACGCATTGCACGGGTATGTTTATTGCTTGTATATCAAATATTATTATTTGTATATAAGATAATGTTGTTTATGAAAGTGATTTTGATACCAAGTTTGTTTGAAGAATTGGATGTTTGAATTTGTCGATATCTACTACAAAGTTACAGACATTATATAGGTGGAGAACGATGCACTGAATCTCCTAATTATGTTAGTTATAGATTACACAATATACTGATATAATTAAAAGATTACACAATATAAAGAGTATTATAAGACTGACAAAAATAATATTAGAAAATATTTGTGATAGTATTTATGTGAATGTGCACGGTTTGTATTGAAGTAAATTTAATGTTGAATTGATAATTAAAGCAATAAATAATAAAGAAAATAAGAATAGCATTTGATATAAATATTACATGTGTGAAATATATATTTAAATTGACTCTAGGGGTAAGTTTATTGCTTGTATTTCAAGTATTGTTTTTTATATACAATATAGTGTGTTTATGAAAGTGGCTTTGATAACATGTTTGTTAGAAGAATTGGATGTTTCAATTGGTTGCTATCTACTATAGAGTTATAAGCATTATGTAGGTAGAAAACGATACACTGAATCTCCTAATTATGTCTGTTACAAATTACATGATATATTGACATAATTAAGAGATTATATAATATAAAAAGTATCCTAAGGCTGACAAAAATAATATAATAGAAAATATTTGTGATAGTATTGATGTGAATATGAATGGTTTGTATTGAAGTTGATTTAGTGTTGAATTAATAATTAAAGCAATAAATAATAAAGAAATTAAGAATAGCAATTTGATATAAATATTACATATGTGAAATATATATTTAAATAATTACACGTGATTCAGTGTATGCCAATTTAATCCAAATAAGTAATATTAAATAGTATGATTAATATTATTTTGTAATTAACCTATTTTAACCCGCAGTTGGACCAACGTTAGTGTGTCGAACCACTAGTGCAACTGATTTTGTGTGAAAGTTGGGTTAACACTTTTCTTGGGTTCCTTTTTTTTCTTTTTTTCGTTTATTTCATTTCTCTCTAATTCCTTTACAAAGTTTTAGTGTGCCAAACCACTGGTCTGACCTTGTGTAAAAACCGGATTACTACTTTTTTAGGGTTCCTATCTTTTCCTTTATTTCATTCCTCTCTAATTCTTATACCAATTTCTCTCCTCATTAGCTTTGTTTCTTGTGTTGTTGACGATTCTTTCTAAGACACTTGTAGTGTTTGTTTCAAGCACTTTTCCACTGCCAACCCAGCCTCTATAAAACTCATCTTTCTTTTTAATATATCAAATTAAAGTTGTGTCTATCTAGTTTCCAATGTTTCAATCCGTTCATCAATGAAACTTTTATTAAGCAA